AGAAAAGAAAATAGAAAGAAGAAAAAATAGAAAGAAGAAAAAATAGAAAGAAGAGAAAATAGAAAGTACAAAAATAGAAAGAAAGAAATAGAAAGAAAAAACTTTCTAAACCAATCCTTCCACAATCCTAGGAATATATACAATTCTATTTTCAGATCTGAACCAGTAACCCCGCGTTTTCCAACATAAACCAATAGAAAAATGTCCAAAAGATTAATGGCTCTCCTTTTGCTTGAGATACAAAGTTCTCTCTTACTTTGTATCTTGCTTCTTTTTTCTTTTCTTTTGATATAATTTTTTACCTTATCATGAAAATAACCTGATCTTACAATCTTGACCTCCTTTACTTCCCTTAGAATTTAAAGGACATCCTGTATCTGAAGTCTCTTGTCACAATCTGCTAATACTACACCATGCTCATCAGCACCTTCAGAGGTGGCTGCAGTTGCAATCCTTGCCATCTCTCTTCTTGTCCATAATCATTCATGGAAAAAAAAAGAACTATTTTATCATTGCACTTGATGTAACTGTTGATAGATTAATGCCTTGCTTCTGAGTTAATTATGGGTGGTGAACTATCTCCAATTCAAGGGGCCATTGCTTGTTGTTGGTAAAATCTCATGATGATAAGCGTGAAAATACGGGCCCAAGTCTCAGAATGGCCATTTTGTGCAAGTCAACCCCTCCCAAGACCCCAGATAGCCAGGACCAACATTGAGTAAAAGTAATGACCCTTTTAACCTATATCCAAATAAGTGTTTTAACAGCACAAGGCACCAAAAAAAGGTGCAAGGGGCTTTTTGTGCTTGAAGCACAAGGTGCAAGCAAGGTTCAAAGTAGCGATACGTATTGTGCCGATAGCTTCCCGATGCGCCCCTCCAGGGGTTGTATCGGGTCAGACACTGGTTCAGAAGGTAGCCGGGCCTTAAACCAACCCCTCTGAACCGGTTTCAAAAAAATAAATAAAACCTAAAAAAAAGTACCGATACCGGCGTATCGGCTTGTGTCGATACTTTGAACTTTGGGTGCAAGGCAAGTGCATGCCTTTTTGAAGGAAGTTCAAGATCTTTAAAAAATAAAAAATAAATAAAAAATTCTCAGAGGCACAAGGCACACCAGGCATGTGCCTTTTTAAAGGAGCTGCCTCTGGGCCTGGGCAAGGCACAGGCCTTGAATTGTGCCTCTCCTGTGTGCCTAGGTACACCTTTTAAATCATTGATGAAAATCAATTGCTCAATACCTAGAAACAGAGGCATGTCTTTTAAATCACTGATGCAAATAAACTCCCCAATCCTTAGAAACAGAGGCGCATCTTTTAAATCACTAATGCAAATCAATTCCCCAATCCTTAGAAACAGAAAACCCCTTATCTACTAGACCCCTAAGGAGGAAATTCCACTAACAGCACTACTCTACTCTCTTAACCCCACCCACACAAGGCTCACCATCCTCTCCTCTGACTCTTGAACTCTCTCCCTCCCTCCTCCAGCTGAGACCTCCAACAGAAAAGACACCACATTCCCTGTCACCTGGAACTGAAAGTGACCAGACTGCTAACCACCTACCTCAAGCCAGCTCACCAACACCATCTCTATTAAATGTTAAATTTGCATTGTCTACCCAGATACTTACTTTTTCCTTCTATAATTACAGATTCTTTAAGTTGTTTCCTGTTGTAAACTTAAGGTGGGTGCCCTAGTGATTAAAAGAAATGACACCATATAATACTCTAAACAGTACAAAAATTATCATTGTGTGAAAACATTTGTAACAAGTGGATAAGGCACTGCTGTGAATAAAGGGATTTGTTTTTTCTTTTTTTTTTTTTGTTTTCTACTATTAAGAAAGGGAAGGTATACCTGAATTATGCCTCAAAGCCAGACTTGCAATGGCCCATGAAACATTCTTAAGCTTCACTTTTCCATCCTATTAGAAAAAAAAACATTAAAAGATAAAAATCAATAAATTAGAAGTTGGAAATGACATCTCGTAACAATCATACAGTAAAAGAAATTAAAGAAAATTCATTCAGATGTCAGTGGCATCCTAACCATCTTGATAAGATCTAGCTCGTTGTCACTATCTTCATCTTCAGAAGATGAAGAATCAGCCGCAATTGCATCATAGAATTCATCATTTACTTCTCCTTCCTCAAATTCACTACTGACACCAGAGGAATTCGATAATTTTGAATGGACAACAGTGGTTGGAGAATCAAATGTCAGTGCAGGATTTGCTCCGAAGAATTCCCGTAAACCTGAACAACCAAATGAACCAGTAAAACAAGACTTCTGCATGGCTAAAAATAGAAAAGAGAAGAAAAGGACAATGTCAAATAAAAACTCTGGGATAATTTCTACTCAAGTTCTTCTGAAATAGCACAGGAAGTAGGATAATGCCAAAAGTCTCGGTTGTGTGCAGATAACAACAGCAAATTTATCTTGGATTTAGAATGGTTTTTTTTACTGATATTACACATATCTATTGTTATTACTATTAGTCTATAAGAAAAGGAACCATAGATTTTTGGAAATTGCATTTGGGACAAACTTTAAATTTTCTTGGGAAAATGTACATCCCATGAATCGGGACTATATAATTCTTTAATAATAGGGTTATCTACAAGTGGGTTGGGCTGCATTTGGTAAGAGTACAAATGCAGAACCAAAGCAAATTTGCACTCCAGTTCAGCTTTGCAAGCAATTAGCAAGAATACATTTTTGTACTTCAAATGAAAGTACACTTGTTTTTGATTTTTTCTGAACTTTTTTTGCACTCAAAATTGGTCAATGTAAAATAGGTTGGTTCTGGCCTTTCGATTTGTGTTTGCACCCATCACAACCACAAAAGGCAGAAGAAATTTAGGACTAATACCCTCTTTTCCTTGTTTTTTACTTTCTCTCAATCAGATTCTGCACTTTTACTATCTTACTAATTACTTGGACCCGGATTTATTGTTTTCTGTTTCTTTGAAGTAGAAAAACTAGAGCAGCAATCTCTAAAGCCACAAAACAAGAAGAATCTGAAGAACAGTATGCTATTTTCTGAGCAAATTTAATAACTAGAAAGCACAACACTGTACAATACAATCCACAAAAAAAAAAAAAAAATCAAAATGCAAGAAGCTATCTTGTAATAAGCTTAGAAGTTGTAGGAACATAGTTTCTGTATATGAGATTGTTTAGCCTAGCTCTATGGAAGAGGAGAGCATAAGAGTGGTCTTATTAGAATCAAGATAATAAATGCTTTCCTATCTATATTCAATAATTGTGAATTACTACAAAGGAAAAGGCCTATTTTTGGTGTATCTCTCCTCACAAATGCTTTCTATGTGAGTGGAGAAAATGCACTCCATCTGATAATCTACTGTCCGTTTACTTCCAGCATTTGGGAATGGTTTCTTGCTCTCTTTGGTAGAAGGTTATTGATCCCCACTTGGTGATGTAAACCTGTGAAGAGTCTCACTGATGTACCATATTAATGTAGTCCCTGTTGTATTATATCTCTTATTTTATTGTTACTTTCTCTTTAGCCCTGCAAGGGCTTTTCTGTAAACACTCTTATTTCATTAATATATATATATATATATATATATATATATAGATAGATAGAGGCTTTTGGGGTAGGGTCAAACTACTCCGTTCCTCACCCCAAAATTCTGTCTTCTCCTCTCTGGTATGGACTGCTTGCTTGACATGGTATCAGAGCAGGCTGCTCTGTAATCAGTACTTGCTTCATGCTCAGTTTCTGACATCCCAAAGGCTGCTGATTTCTGGGTGCTTTGTCCTGAAGATAGGGATGTTCTGATCAACCCTAAGCCTTGCTCTCTGTTCTGCATTTCAGCGAGAGAGGTCCTCCTAGAACTCTCTTGGAAAGCTTCTGTTTGGAGAGAAACTCGATTGGTTGCGTCGCCCTGGCCTGTTCTACTACCTCAGAAACTTTCTTTGGGATTGGACAAGTTTTGGAGGAGTTCTGATCTTCTATCTAGAGCGGCAGCAATTCTCTTCCTCCTTCCTTGGACTGGTGTATTCCCAGGTATTCTCCAAGCTTCGAACATTAAATCTTTGGCTGCTATTGCTTCAGATTGAAGGGTTTCAACAGACATACTACACTCTTCTTCAAGATGCTCATCTTAAACATTTGGGTCACCCAAACTCTGAAAAACTTAAATATTTGTTTGAGTCTGGTTTTATTAGAACTAAAATTCTTTCCATGGAATCTTTTGATACATCTTGTGTTTCTTGTTGTTTAAGAGTCGTATTTTTCCATTCATTCACAAAGCTGAACATGCTGCTTCCCCTTTTCAAATTATACATAGTGATGTTTGGACTTCATCTATTGTTTCTCGATTGGGACACAAGTATTTTGTACTCTTCATTGATGATTGTACCAGGTACGGATCTACTTTCTCAAACATAAGTCAGAAGTTTTCCCAACCTTTCGGTCGTTTCATACCATGGTTCGAGTTTGGTTTCAAGCAAGTGTGCAGACCTTATGCTCCCTCAGGGGGAGAATACAGTGACGGAGAATTTCTGGTTTATTTAAAACATCATGGTATACAAGTCCAAGGGTGTTGTCCAAACACTCCTCAACAAAATGGTGTGGTAGAACAAAAGAATGGCCACATTCTTAGTGTTGTGAGGACTCTTCTACAAGAGTCACATGTGCCTCCCATTTTCTGGGTAGAGGCTGCTAGTACGGCTGTGTATTTGATTAATTGTATCCCTTCATCGGTTCTTGGTAACATATCGCCTCATCAGAAGATGTTTGGACCCCCCGATCTTTCCCATCTTCATGTTTTTGGGTGTCTATGCTTTGTACATCTTCCCCCTCATGAACATTCAAAGCTTTCACCTCAATCTGTCGTGTGATTTTATGGCATATAGTCCTAACCACAAGGGATTTCTTTGTTATGATCCCTCTGCACGTCATATCCGTATTTATCGGAATGTGTTTTTTCTTGAGAATATCTCTTTTTTATCAGGAGTTGCCAAGTTATTTGCACCCGTTGTTTCTATTTTGTATGATTTTGACTCACAAGATGCTTCATCATCAACTACTGGAAAAGATCTTGTCTTCTCTCGCAAGTGGGTTCATGGTCTAGTACCTGTGTCTATGACCCCCCCTTCATCTTGGTCTGGATCCTTCTCCCATCTCCAATAACCTTGTAAGTGACATCACTATTTCAGATCCTTCGGATGTTCCTCCTGTTCCTTTACATTGTTCTACCTGCATATCTAGATCACCTGACCGCTATGGTTTTCCTTTAGACCATAGCTCATTTTCTATTGTTTTGTCTTCCATAGATATTCCCCGCTCATACCAACATGCCATTAGCAGTCCTCAATGGAGAGATGCCATGGATACAAAGATTCAAGCTTTGCATGAGAACGACACTTGGGACCTCATTCCAGCACCTTCAGAGGGCTCTATTATTGGGAGCAAATAGGTCTAATCCATCAAGTTGAAATTTGATGGGTCTCTAGATCGATATAAAGTTCAACTCGTTGGTTAGGGCTATACGCAGTGTATGGCATCAATTATGAGGAGACATTTGCCCCAGTGGCCAAGATCACTACAGTCCATGTTCTCTTAGCCCTCTCTACTGCACACTCTTGGAACTGTAGTGAAAAATGCTTTTCTACATGGGCACCTAAAAGAGACTGTATATATGAAACCTCCACCTCGGTACTGTAGTGATCCCTCCCTTGTTTGTCAGTTGAAGAAATCTCTCTATGGGATGAATCAAGCTCCTCGAGCTTGGTTTGAAAAATTCAGAGATATTGTGCAAGCCGGGTATAATCAAAGTGCTTCCGATTACTCTTTCTTTGTGCAGAAAAGACCTTGAGGTCTTACAATTCTCCTCCTGTATGTGGATAACATGTTGTTGACTAGAGATGATATTAAAGGAATTCAAGAGCTCAAGTCTCTTCTTTACAGTGTCTTTCACATGAAGGACTTAGGCCCTCTTACCTATTTCTTGGTACTTGAAAAGTTCCCAGGGGTATTTCATTTGCCAACACAAATATGCCTCTGATCTTGTCCAGTTAGCCAGCCTTACCGATAATAAACGGGTAGACACTCCCTTGGAGTTGAATGTCAAATTATCCAATTCAGAAGGTCCCTTGCTTACTGATGCCTCCCTCTATCGGCGACTTGTGGGATCTCTCATCTATTTCACCATGACTCACCTTGACATCTCGCATGCAATTCAGGTTGTCAATCAGTTTGTCTCTGCCCTCGCCAACCCCATTTGACTGCTGTACATCGGACCATCCACTATGTTCAAGGCTCTTTATCATAGGACCTCTTCTTCTCTTAATCTTCTTCTATCCAACTAAGGGCCTATGCTGATGCAGATTGGGCTGGATGCCCTGGCACACGCCGTTCCACTACCAAGTGGTGTGTCTTCGTGGGTGCTCTCTAATCTCATGGAAATGCAAGAAACAACAAACTGTTTCCAAGTCCTTTATGGAAGCAGAGTATAGGGCAATGTCATCTGTTTGTAGCGAAGTTGTTTGGCTTCAATCTTTATTTTAGGAATTGCGTCATTCCTATCCTACACCCATCCCTCTGTGTGCAGACAACACTAGTTCTATTAAGATTGCCTCTAACTCTGTCTTTCATGAAAGGACAAAACATATTGAGGTGGGCTGCCACTTTATCCACGACTTTTTCCTTGTAGGCTCTATCTCTCTCCCTCATGTTGCCTCCAAAATGCAAGTTGCTGACATCTTCACAAAGGCCATGACGAGATCCGGGCACTTATTCCTTGTGAGCAAACTGATGCTCATGCCTTGCATCAGTTTGAGGGGGAGTGTGAAGAGTCTCACTGATGTACCATATTAATGTAGTCCCTATTGTATTGTATCTCTTATTTTATTGTTATTTTCTCTTTAGCCCTGCAAGGGCTTTTCTGTAAATATTCTTATTTCTATATATATATATATATATATATTGAGGCTCTTGGGATAGGGTCAAACTATTCAGTTCTTCACCCCAGAGTTCTGTCTTCTCTTCTTTGGTATGAACTGCTTGTTTGACAAAACCACCTTTTCATCTACCTTTATTAACCCAACTAATAAAAAAGGAAAGGTCATGTGGAGATACAAGGGGGCAACAATCCTTTGTACTATTTGGGAAGAAAGAAATGCAAGAATATTAGAAGAGAAGAAGCTAAAGAAGCAATAATAGAAACAATCTCTATAAGAGTGGTCCATTGAACCAAAACTTTGGATATATTTGCACCATTCTTGAAGGATGACATTCATAGAGGATAGCAGGTTGTGGGGCTCTCTCCTCTTGTACAAGGACTATCATATCAAGAGGGTGGACTCCAACATCTTTCAACTTGATTAAACTAAACTTTGATGGATGTAACCTGGAAAACTCAGGCGTCTCATTGGTGGTGTTTTTAGAGATAGTTCTAGGGATGCATTTAGCATTGTTTCCAGGACCTATTAGAGTGGGGAACTGTATAAGAGCTATGCTGTAGGCAGTTAACTAGGGGTTCCCATGGTTTAACTGAACCATGGGCCTTTTTTCTAAACTGAACTGGTAGTACCGGTTTTTGGAAAACTGGTAACCAAAGTCGATTGGTTAACTAATTGATCGGTTCGGTTAACCATTGGTTTGGTTCGTCGGTTATTCGGTTTTTTTATTTTTCATAATATTATATATAATAAATATAAAATATTATATTATAAATAATAAATAATATATTATATATATTATAATAAATAATTTATTATATTATAAATAATAAATAATTTATTATAATATATAATAAATAATTTATTATATTATAAATAATAAATAATGCATATATATTCATTTATAATATATAAATAATATAAAATATATATTATATTATTTAATGTTTTTTCTTTTCTTTTCTCTACTTGTGGGGGAGTTAAGCTAGTTTACCTCCCTTCGTCAATTCAGTTCGGCTTTTCAGTTTTTCATGATCACCCCTACGGCAAACAGGGCTCAAATGTATTGGGGGGAGGGGGGTAACAAATGAAAGATACTTGGGGGCAATAATGTAACAATTGGGGTTAGGTGGTGAAAAGCCAGCCTAATACAATCCTTTGTATTGTATTTAAAAATCTTTTTTAATAATCAGAAAGATATTAATATATTATTAGCAACAAAAATGGTTTCCCATCTATCCCATCACTATATCACGAGTAAACCTGTAAAAGATAAACTATCTAATTATGAGGCTGGTAAATCTACGAAAGGATTTCAGTCTGAACAAAAAGTGTAGTACAGGGCACTCAACCTGCTACTTGGCATAATAATGCATAAGGAACAGTCTTTTCAAAATTTGAGTTGTGATTTTTCTTCCACCTAAACCATCCATGTGAGTGTATCTCCAACATTTGTGTTACAAGACATCTTGTGGTATTTGAAGCTGGGGTTGGATTTAGACTTCTAATCTCCCAAGTTGAAGCTACAAAAAAGAATTGTAAAAGTTTTAAAAATCAAAATAACAAATTCAGTATTTGCATGAGTGATAAAAAAGTTCTCAAAACCATTTGTAAGTCTTGTAAGAATAATGAGCAGCATTTTATATCTAACAACTACAAGCATGATTCTTGTAGAACATGCAAATAAAAATGCTACACATTTTAACTTTTTAAGCAATCACATCTCTAGTCAAAGAAATTAAATCATTTTATATCTCACAACTACAAGCACGATTCTTCCAATCTCTGCAGAAGCAAATACAAGTTGAGAAAGATGAGAACTTGACAAAATCTATTAAACAGACTGCGATGAAAAGCCACCACTTGACCAATCAACATACATTTAACAAAAACAAAAAGTATTACATGCATCTGTTAGAGTCAGCTAAGGAAGGGTATTTCAGTCTTTTCATCATAAGTTAAGATGTGTTGTCTGTTTGGTACTGTGTTAAGTCACATGTCCCATACTTAAGTAGGGGCATATTTGACGTTGTACCTTGTTTTTGACATATATGGCCGGTTGGGAGGGTCTCTGACTTCTCAGTTCGACACTTCTTCCTTCTCTCTTCTTCTTCTCTCTTTCTCTCTTCTCTATCTCTGAAACTGATTCCACTGAACTATTATCACATGGTATCGGAGCATCGCTAAACAGGAGAGAAGAAGACTACAGCTTCATATCTGGTCTTCTTCCCCCTTTCTTTATTTTATTTTATTTTCTGGTCTGCGCAACCTAGAGTAAGGGTGTGAGAAGGCTGCGGCAATCCACAGAGGACTGCGGTAACCTATTCAGGTGTTCCTAAGGTTACGGTGGCCTAGATACAGGTAAAAGAGGAGTGTGGCAGCCCTAGTAGGAGGTTTCTGGACTGCTGTCACCATGTGTGACAGCCTTAGTGGTCATGTGGTTGTGCTTGTGGTGGGTTGAACCCTCTATTGAGCAGTTTCGAGAGGGATATTTTTTTAGATGGTGGTTATGGTTTTATTAGAAATCGTTTTTTTATGTTAACAGAAGTGGCCGAATGTGTGCTTGTGCTTGGGTAATATTGTGGTGATTGGATGAGGAGGTGCTGTACGGTGGTGAGTATGTTGGTGTAGTACTCAAAGAACAACAGTCAGTGTATTTGGAGAGATAACCTTTTTTCTGGAAGGGCAGCACCAGTTTCTTAGATTGAAATCTTGATGGCATCAATGGGAGATGTCAGTGGTGACCAGAAATCGAGTGTGATGATTTCCTCTGATTTTTTAAGTGTGCAGATGACATCCATCAAACTCAATGGTGAAAACTATGTGCCATGGGCTAAGTCGGTGGAAGTGTTTCTTAAGGCTAAGAAGAATGTAAAACATGTGTGGGAGGAGAAACCTACAGCTGAATCTCCGGGTTTTAGTGATTTGGGAGCAGGAGGATGCTCAAATCATGAAGTGGTTGTGGAACAGTATGGAACCTAAAATCAGTGTTAACTTCATGTTCTTAGACATAGCAAAGAAAATATGGGAGCACGCTAAGAAACTCTATTTTGGACAAGACAATACTACGAGAGTTTATCAGCTTTATCAGGAGTACTTCAGTTTGCAGTAGGAAAATCAAACCCTTGAAGAGTATTTTTCCAGTACGAGAAATCTTCGGAATGAACTTAATGTCTACCACCCCTTAACTTCGAATGTCAAAATTCAACAACAAAGGGAACAACTTGATGTTACCCAATTCTTAGTGAGGCTGAAATTAGAGTATGAACCTGTCAGAGCACAAATATTGGGTGGATCTGCCCTCCCCACTCTAGAGGAAGTGTTTGCCTGTCTCCGTAGGATTTCTCTTGGACCCACAGAGAGTACCATACCTTATGACAGAACAACATTTATTGGAACACGAGGAGCTTATGGAAACAGAGGAGGAGGTAGTGCAGTTTGAGGGGGCCGTGGTAACCCTATGTTTGGTCGTAGTCATGGTATTGGTGGAGGTCGTGATTCCGGGGGATGCTGTGGCAAAGGAAGAGGAAACACTACTAGGAAATGTACACAATGTGGAAAAGACGTACACACAATTAACTTCTTTTATGATCTACATGGGCTAATCATGCAGCTGTTCGTTGCAGTGAAGTTAGTGATAATCAGCCAGTTGATCCAACACCTTCTACATCCACAACTACTTCTGGGAAGGAGATGATGAGTATCCCAAAAGATGAGTATGAGAGATTTCTTCACGCTACTTCACATCAGAATACTGCCACTCTTGCTCATTCAGGTATGGCTTGCCTGGCATCAAAACCTTCCCCATGGATAATTGACTCTGGAGCCTCTGATCACATGATGGGACTCTAGGTGTGTTTTCCTCCCTTTCTCAGACCTCCACATCACACAATGTTACCCTAGCCAATGGTTCTACTTCCCCCATTTGTGGTGTCGGTAATGTTAACACTGCATCTCTTTCTTTGTCTTCTGTTTTATATGTACCCAGGTTTCCATTTAATCTTATGTCTATTAGTAAAGTAACCAAGTCTTTCAATTGTTCTATCACTTTTTACCCTTCCTCTTGTGTTTTTCAGGATCTCAAGACGGGGAAGAAGATTGGTGGAGGGCATGAAGCTGGTGGGTTGTATTACCTTGATGGGGGTGGTTCTACAATTGCACTTCAAACTTCTTTGATTCCTCTCCAGTGGCATTGTAGATTTGGTCATCCATCTCTTAAAGCTCTCAAGCTACTTGTTCCACCATTAAGTCGTTCGTCTTCTTTTCAGTGTGAGTCGTGTTAGTATGGGAAACACCATTGGGTTTCCTTTAGTCCTAGAGTTGATAGTCACACGTTGAGTCCTTTTGCTTTAGTTCATTCAGATGTTTGGGGTCCAATTAGGGGTGAGCAAGAAGAACCGAAAAACCAACTAACCAAAACCGAACCGAAAAAACAGTTAACCGAACTGGTTGGTTCGGTTTTGGTTAACCTATTTAAAAAACCGACGGTTAACCGAACCGACCAGTATATGCTAATAAATAATAATAATATTATATATATAATATATAATATTTTTAAAAATTAAAAAATTGGAATCCCTAACTCCATCGTGCCTTTGACCTTTTCCTTTCCCGTTTCCCCTTTCTTTCCCAATTTCCCTCTCGGCTCTTTCTCTCGACTCTCGGACTCTTAGTCTCTCACAGACTCACAGTCAGAGACTCTGAATCTTCTTCTTCCCCAATGCCACCGACGGTCGTTGACGCTCTGCCACCAATCGAATCACCGACGCCTCCGACGAGTGTGTTCCAGACTTCCGGTGAGTGCTCTGTACTTCTTTGTTCTGTAAATTTGTGTTCTCCTTTCTCTCTCTAGACTCTAATATTCTTCTTCTTCTTCCCAACGGCCAGACCTACCGAGGGTGACGGGTGAGCCCCGAAGTCCGACCGGCAGTGTCTCTCTCTCAGTAAGTGATAGTGTCTCTCATCAGTCAACACTCAACAGATCTCTCTGTCTCTCTCACTCTCAGACTCATCTCTTAGTTATAGCCTCACTCATCTCTCACTCTCAGTTATAGTCTCTCAGTCTCTCAAATATCACTCGAAGAGTCAGTGTTCACTATTCACCCAAATCTCAAGTGTTCAGTGTTCACTCTCTCTCAGAACATCAGAAACTCAATCTCTTCTCTCTCGACAGCAAGTCAGTAACCACCAAATCACCAACCGGCATCCGGTAAATTGGCAACCAATCTGGCACTATCAAATAGCCACCTCTCCGTTCTCACTGCACCTATTTTAGGTAATTTAGTATTTTTACAATGAATGAATGTTGTTTGTATTCCTTCCAAGAATGAATGAATGCTTTTTTTAGTATTTTTAGAATGAATGAATGTTGTTTGTATTCCTTCCAAGAATGAATGAATTTTTTTGTTTTTTATTTTTTAGTATTTTTAGAATGAATGAATGAATGCAATGCAATGTTTCCAATAGAATGTTAATTGATGTCATGTCTATAACCTTACCCATTGTAAACTGCCCGAGGGCCTTCTGTGAGAGTTACTGGCAAAAAAACCAGTCTTATTGTTGCCCGTAAACTGATGAGAGTTACTGGTGTATGGTGATGAAGATTGGCCTTATGCAAATAAAAGCAGCAAGTGGAAGGAATAAATCATTGTATGGACAATTCAGATTTTATGGAGAATTTGGATTAAATCGTTGTATTTTTCTTTTATTTTATGGAGAATTCAGATAAAATCTTGAATGAATGAATGAATGTAGAAATTTAGTATATTTTTCTCACTCAACCTCTTTTAGGTTTTTTTTTTTTTTTTTGTATTTGTAGAATGAATGAATGTTGGCTTAAATCATTGTCTATTTTTTCTGATCTTGTGGAGAATTCGGATTTTTGGCTTAAATCATATGTTTATTTTTTTCTAATTACACAGGTATTTTTTTTATTTATCAAATATATGCTAGAGAGTCAAACTCAAAGTGCCAACAATCATCTACTTAGAACCACAAGCATAAACCCATCTCCTTCTCCTGCACCTTCAAGTAATGCTGGTAATTCATCACACCCAGCTAGTTCAGAGATTGATTCAAAAGTTTGTACCACTTCTTCTAGAAAAAAATCTTGGGTGTGGGATCATTTTACTAAACTTGATTGTAAGGACAAAAGTGAACAAAGGGCAAAGTGTAATTATTGTGGTAAAGACCTAGCTTGCCCATCTTCAAGTGGTACTAGTTCCTTAAGTAATCACTTGTCTAGATGTAAACAGTATCCCCTTAATAATATAGACAAGCAGTAAAAGACTTTGGAAGCTTCATTTCAAAGTTCTAAAGAGGGGAGCACCACACCATCACTTGTGCCTTACAAGTTTGATCAAGATGAATGTAGAAAGGAACTTGCTAGGATGATTATTGTAGATGAATTACCTTTTAAGCATGTGGAACGAGAGGGTTTTTGTGGCTTTTGTAGTAAGATGCAACCAAGATTTGTAGTTCCTTCATGTCACACAGTAGTTAGAGATTGTTATAGTCTTTATGT